ACCTGCATTCCCTCAATGCCTCCTTGTCATCGCTGAGCGAAGTATTCATCCAGTTTCTGATGGAATTTCACCAGAATTCAGCCTCAGGGAACTCAACATTATAGAATCTCTTCAACAAAGATAATGGTGGCGTACTATGGCATTGAATAGACACAAATGCTCAAATCCCTGCCGCCAGCAACTCCCGACGACACGAAGTGACGGTAGTACGTCAAGAGCACTATACACCACTCAAAAAACTTTAAGTTAAATATAGAGGGTACCAAGCAACCATAAGATCAATTTTCGTGTACCATCACTTACAACTCGTGAACCCGTGGACCCCTGGGTGTTCACCTGGACCACTTTGGGCATCACAGAGTTAAACAATTAAAATATTTCAGAATCAAAATCGAAGGCGACATATAGAAAATGGACGCAAAGAAAAAATTTCTGGCAACATCAGTTAAGTTTTGAGACACAATTTGAAACAAACTGTGAACACCCTAAATTAGTTTGAAACCTTGACGGTTAAACTGAAATACATATATGCACGTATCCAAAACAAAGAGCTCTTTGATTTCGCCAAAATTTTACTTTTATTTGAATAATCTGTATATTGGCTATCAATGGTTTTTTGTTGTATAAAAAGTTGGACTTAAGTTCGATGTGCATAAATACAGCATAAGCCGTAACGCGATATATGGATGAAAAAAAAACGTTTTGCGTGTATCAGTTTTATTAAAACACTTATGTTGAGAGAAAATTTTAAATGTAAAAAAAAATTTTTTTGGCACCCGCAAAAAACCGCTAAATCGAGTTGTTTGCTATAACTTTCTTATTTTATATAAGATTTTTAAAATCTTTATGTCGCTGAAAAGGTCTAGCTCAGCACTATCATTGGTCAATTTGGCCTCCAAAACCGTTTTAATTTATACCTTCACTAATTTTAGAATTACTAACCGCAGATTTTTATTTTTATACTATAAATCTAAAGATCTCAAAAAGCGATGACGACCTTCCTAAAAAGGGTTAGGCTTTATTCAATTATAGTCCTGAGCATGCCTTTTCAGTGACAAAAAAATTTAAAACAACTGAACTAAGGCGACCACAAATTAGGCCGAGCATTTTTTTATTCAAAGGTTTATAGAAATATTCAAAAATTTATTGTTATTTTTATTTTATATAAATACTAGCCGGCCTCGTATGCGCGAGGCTTCGCCACGCGCTGACTGTGATAGATATTATATAAGATGCGATTGACAACTAAACAGGTTGCAACCCTAATAAAAAAACAATAATATATAATTGCGCATCTGTAATCTAACGAACAGCCCACTTTTTTTAATTTTTCGCACAGGTTGTAACCCTCTTCGAAGAATAAAACCTTACTGCAAATCGGAAGGTCAAGCCTTTTCATTTGACACCGCATTTTTTTAAATTGAATGAACTGTGCAAATCTAATGCCAGTAAGAAAAAATGCCCTCGCGTATTATACATACATAATTTTTAAATAGGTGGCAACCCCACTCAAAAAAAAAAATAAAAACTTATTGCACATGCAGAGATCATATCCTTTCACTTGGTACGTCAGTTTTTAGTTCAACAAACGGTGAAGGTCTTATAATTTTAAAAAAGTGGCAACCCTACTCAAAAAGTTTATTTCCAAAAACTATTAGCTCTTTACGTACCGCCGCCGCAGAAGTAGTCGGATTTCAGCGAGCCCGAAAGAACAACTGGTATGATGAGGATTGTCTAGAAGCTGCAGAGAAAGAGAGAGCTATAGGAAACTGAAGAGGGAAGCGAGACGTATTTGCTGCTATAAGAAGAGAGAGGTCAAAATACATATGTACGTGTTTGCGAAGAACTTAAAATACTGGCCGACAGAAAAATGCCCGAAAATTTTACTACAGAGTTATTCGACTTACGGAAGGTTTCGAGGCCAGGGCGAACTCTTGTAAGAACAACAATGGCCACCTAGTGACCGATGTTCAGAACATACTTAAATTATAGATAGAACAGTATTGCCCTTTTGCCAGAAGCATGAATGTGCAAATTTACCAATTTTGAGTGCTTCGGTTGACTTGGTTAACATTTAGATGATCTATACTATACCAAAACCCGCATATTTTACAATGTCAATCACATGAATGTAGAGTTAAATCAAAGGCGAATTTAAGGAAAACAACTTTTTTCTATATTTTTATTTTGCGATATTGCTTTGACCAGGGCTTGAACTCAGGCTCTGCGGAGTGGTAGCGCGCAATGCTAACCACTACACCACAGCGGCCGCCATGATTATATACACTAACTAAAAAACTAATGTTACAAGAACATGGTATTCATTGCGTTGAATTTTCACGATCTGATTTTTTAGTTATATTTCCCGATCTACCCGATACCCTTAAAAGGAATATGAAATCAAGTCATTGCACTATGGCTGAAAAAAGCACTTTTTGCGGCCAAAAATCAACCAATGCAGATAGGCTCTTAAAACCGTGTGCACATACTTCTTAGAACCTTAAAAGAAGTTGGTTTGACAACCAGACCACCCGTCCAGCCCTTCTAAAATGGAGGAAAATGTTATTATTAGAGAAGGGAAAAATATCAACTACCAAGTTGGGGATGCTCTATCTTCTGGTGGTATTACCAACTTCCGGTTTCGACCGGAAATGGGTTAAACATACCGGAAGTGTCTTATTTTAACCAGAAGTCCCTTCCAGAGAAAGGTTTCTGACAAAAGTTATGTACTTTTGTCCGCAGAATCCGAACAAACCAAAATTGACAAGGGATGACGAAAATTTGTTCCAAAATACATCAAACTCCTACCCGTTGGAAACACTAAACTGAAAATACACAATTTCTGAAATTTTTACCTTTAAT